TTATTTATTTCTCATAACACATAAAAAGTTCATTTTCTTGAGGATTTTTTGTAGCAAACGAAGGACTACAAGTTTGAAGATGATGGTAGAAAGTTCATTTTCTTGAGGATTTTTTGTAGCAAACGAAGGACTACAAGTTTGAAGATGATGGTAGTTTTGGTGCTAAACTCAACATAGAACACTCTAAAACTTGGGGATGAGTTTTGTTGCAATCAAGGAGTTTGATACAAGATAGGATGGTACATGTTTTTTAATTTTTCCTATTAAGTTTTAGCAACGTGTTATTATGAGCATTTATACTTTTCAGGGATTGTGTGGCTTTTTTTTTTTGGTTTGTATCCTAGGATTTTTGCAAAAGTATATAGGATTATTTATTTTATCTGAGGTAAAAGCATCATTACAAATGTTGTTTTGAGAAGGACTTATAGTTTAATTAAGTTGGGATTTTTTAGGTTCGAAGTAGGGAATTTTATTGTTCTATTAGGGTTTTCATTTAACATTGAGTCTTGAAATCTTATTTCTTGGTTTTACCAGTGCTGAGGTAAAACGCCTGTCTTCAAGGTTTCTTCTTTAAGTTTCTATAAATAAATTTTCTACAAATAAATTATATGATTTTCGTCCGTGCGAAATTTCTTGTACATTACCAATTTACCATCCATGGCAGGGCCCCTTCATTGTTCTACAAATTGGGGACTAGTCGTCTCGATGTCATGGGTATTTGGAACTACCTTTTCTTGCTTCCTTAATTTTTTTTTTTGTCTATTTATATCTTGGAATTCTACTAAAAAAAAAGTTTGAGAAAATTTTTGTCAGCCTTTTGGGGTGAAATTGAAGAGTCTCGATAAATTCCGAGTATCACGTTCTGTTAGAAAAAATTTTGAATAAACTACAGAGATTGTCTACTAGAAGCGTATTTAATTTTATTAAAAAGAGGTCACAATTATTTCTTGCCATTATATGTCAAATTCGATGGTCTGGAGTGTGTTATAAAGTTTCAAAAATTACTTTTTTGGAAGTTTGAGTCTAATCAATGACACTCATATAACTATCCAATTTGAAATATGAAAGAGAAGAGTGTTTGTAATATCCTTGTGCCAAAATTAAATAGTATTTTTATATACTTTTCGTAAACTACTTTAACCTATATGGCCAATATCCATTAAAGGAAAAAGCTTATATAGAGCCGAGGCTCTAAACAATCAAATAAGAGCGTACCTCAAAAATTTCACTAGAAGAGGTTTTTTTGATGCCCAAATATCTTGAAATTGTTTAGTTCAATATCAAGATGCGTGGACGTGAGAAAAAAATAGATTTCAAATTTTGGAAATGGTGTATTTTGTAACACATTTTTGAACTGTCAATTTTCAAAATTTTCAAGTTTTCATAAATTTGTCGATCGACACTATTTTTTATTATAAATATAGGTGAAAATATAGTTTAAGGCTATCACAAAGATTTTCAATATTGAAACCACATTTTTCGACACTATTTGAAGGTAGGCTCTAATTTAATTGTTTAGAGCCTAGGCTCTCTGCAAACCGCACCTGTCCATAAATGGTATCTTTATGTATTTTTTCCCACTTAGTATGTAGCCATACTGAATACAGAATAAAAGTAGAATTAAGAGTCTAACAAATATAAAAACAGAAGGCCAAACAAATATAAAAATGGAAAAATGTTGTACGAGTCAGGGACGCCTCAAATTCACCAGATCACCAACGAAAATATGAAATAGGCCGAGTAAAAAAAAATCTCAAGAGGCCAATGTTAAGTTTTAAAATTATTTTAATTTTTATATTCATAATCACCACAATCTACCTTATGGATCCCTGAAAATTTCTTTCCAAAATCCTTCTCCAATATGAATGGTAGAGGGAGGACTCACATGAACAATGAGTCGGCAGACTCATCAAACCCCGCTGTATAAGTATATCATGGCAATACTCTTTGAGTTAATGGTTTAAGGCAGATGTTTCTAACATCTGCTTTTAAGCCTCAATTTTTGAAGATTTAAGATGGTCATAAGATCAAAAAACTAAATTTAATATGCAGTACGATGTTTAACTTGAAAAAAAAATTAAAAAAATCAAGAGGACAAGGAACACTCAAATATCGCATATTTTTGGACCATCACATAATAATGGTCAAATACAACGGTACAGACATGGTTTTCCTTTTTTGTACAACAACATATAATTTTCCCTTATTTATTCAACAACAAATGATGAGTAGTAAAACAGTTTAAAATGACAGTGACTATTTTAAAGCCTCACAAGATTCAAACAGGATTTTCCCCCAAGGCGATGGCTCTGTTGAAACTCGAGGTACTCTCTATAAGGCATCTCACGATATGCAACTGCTTGGCCTCCGTTCTCTGCCAACTGGGTTGCAGGGGAAACACTAGCATCCAGAGACGGTCCATGAGCCAAAGCTATCGAAATCCTAGCTGTTGCGTCGTTCACCACGGCTCGATGCTCCACACTCTTGTAAATCCCATTGCTCAATATCTGCGCTATGATCAATTTTGATTTTGAAATCACACAACAAAAGTTGGTCTTCAATAAAGGGTGTTAAGGGGAAAACTTGTAAGATTTTTGATGTTGTCATGTTGTATAAATCTTGAATGGTTGGCTTTAGTATGGATTAGAACATGATCCTAGCAACATATCTACAAAGTATGACATTTTTGCCTTCCAAAACTTAGAGGAATTGAAGATAAAATGCTATTTTTAGTACATAGAGGGGCTCAAGGTAGAAGTTTACTGTTTGCCATATCAATCAGTTGTTCATGAATCTAATATCATATGCTTTGCTTTTGATGTAGAACAATGCGTATTTAATATTGAATAAATAAGAAAACGTAGTTGAGAATGAGCTGGGGCCTTTGCGGTAGTACCAACGAACGTTACGATGAAGTCTCAGAATCTATTTTCACCAAAGGGTAGGGGTCCAAATCCCCTTTGGCTTACCCTTCTGTTCACCCAAAAAAAAGAAAGTAGAGTAAAATGCCAATAATTGAGGTCATCATGAAGATCAACTCTGATTCTATTAACTAAAATTAGGGACTTCAAATGTATCTTCTGGCTTATGAAAGAGAAAACTATTCTCGAGCTTTATCGCTATATAATATGCCCAACTACGAAAAATGTGATATTGTGTGAATGATTCCTCGGAGCTTTAGTTTTCACCCTATGATTGTGAAAATAGAAAGAAATGGTTAATTTTATCAGGTTTGTTTGATTTCATGAGTGGTTCCAATGTTTCTTGTAATCCTATTCTTTTTACTGCTGAAAATTTTGCAAGCTGTGGTCATTATTGCATCCTTAAATTCAAGAAAAATAGTTTTCTCTTGTGGCTTTTCTGTTGCTTGATTCCCTTTTAGTGGTGCTGTCCTCCCCCAAAACGTTGCAGGAGTCTTTGTGGGAGGTAAGTTATAATAGTCCATTACGATCAGTCTCAAATATTATGATTTAGCTTTTCCTTCAAGTTGAGAGTAATTGCTATTTGTTTGTTCCGTACTTGGTTCACTAGAAACTCAGATATTTTTAATGAAATCATTTGTCCAATGGAGTGGTCTAAGAAGGGTGATGACCTTAAACTTTTCTTTAACTCGTCTCATGCTCGGGTATAGGGGCTGAATTGTGTTAGGTTGGTAGCCAATGTAGAATTTGTCAAAACTTATCATGAATCTTGAACGAACTTTGTAGCCAACATCAAGTAATTGGAAAAAAGCTATAATGATGATGATGATGATTTGTCCAATAGAAGGACACTAAATTCATGATAAGGAGACTGTAAGAAATAAGAAATATACATACCTCTAGATGGTCGCCAACGTTAACAACGAAGGTATTGGGGAGAGGACGGACAAGTACCCAGTTCCCTTTATGTTTCAGTTGTAGGCCACCAACTTCATCCTGCATTAGTACTGTAAGCCCCCCATGATCAGAGTGCGGAGTGAGGCCCATTGCTAGTTCTGGTTGAGGGCAACGAGGATAGTAGTTGCAGATTAAAATTTGGAGCCCCTCCTCTAGCTTGAAAGCTTTCTCTATGTAGCACGATTGAAGTCCCAAACTTTCAGAGATTCCCTTAAATAGTTCCCTAGCTATTTGTTGAACCCTCTTAGAATATTCAGCTGCAATTTCTCTGCAAATGGTAGTCAATTAAAGAATCAATGCAATGAAACATGTGTCCGACACGTTCAGGACGTTCCGGAGCATAGGCTCAGGCCTCATATTAGACTAGGAGGATCGTCCACAAAGGTCTAACATGCACGTCTATGGTTTTGGGACACCCAAGTCTCATCTTTTAAGACACATTTGTCTTAGGTTTAAGATACGGTCTTCAGTCTCAAATATGATCATCTAAAGAAAATGGTTTCTAGTGTGTCCCCGGGTTGAATAAGGAAAGAGTTGGTAGTAATCTGGTCCCGCTGGTACCCAAGACACTGCCAGACCATGGGGTGACCTTTGAAGAAGTGTCAGAATGGTCTCAAATTGCATAAGATGGTAGTTCTTGACACCCTAAGGACACCCACAAAGTTTCGTCGGGAGTTGACGAGTTTTAATATGATTAGGACGAAACTTAGTTTTCAAATCCAATTCTTATCATACTAAAAATTGACCCTATAACTATAGCCCTATTTTCTAGGTTTAGGGTCTCAAAATAGTATCATACCATCGCCATTGGATCCAGAATATTGAAAAACCCTCATGTAGCAAATTTTGGCTCAATCAGACCGTCCAAGACCATTCTGGCCCTAACTTACCATAAAGGGTGGGTTTTACACAATTACGGCGTAACCTCGGTGAACCAATTTTTATTTCTGGAAACTGTGTTTTCTTATTTCGGGATGATTTTCAAATGCTCAGAACTTGCTCGTTTTGAGTCCAATTAAGCTTAAATTCAGACATGAGCTAGATCTCGACGACCCGCTCATTTTGACATATGGCATGTGTCATGACGTGGAATGAAACGAGAGAATTTCTAAAGAGAAGATGGGGAATTCAGATTTTAAAAAGAAGAACATCGAATTCTTTGAGAGGCCATAGCTCAAGATCCTAATGTCGGATCGTCACAAGTATGGTCTGTTGCGATCGTACTTCGAAGATCTACAATTTGATATAATTTTTTTGTACGATTGGAGGCTGGATGACACCGAATTTTGAGGTTCAAGATGGTATACTTTTCGGGTAGCCGGAATCTCATTTTTCGTTGACTTCCCAAAATTGGAGCGTACTCAAACGGAGACCAAAATGGATGAAATTTGTCAAAAAAATGATCGTGATAGTATGATCTTCAATATGTGATCAAAATGAAGGCTTGGAATGTTATGAATCGTACCGGATTGGTGGTCGAAGCATCACAAGTTTATGGAACTTGGTCGGATTTTGGGTTCTTCCTTAAAAATATGTTTCAAGACGATCAAAGGGTATCAAAATGTGCAAAATAGTTTAAGCATCGATTCTATGACGATTGATCGCCCGAATTACCACTGTAAGCATTTGAAAAGGATCTCGAGGACTAGCAATGGCAAGAGGCCCCTCATGGAGAGATGGCTTTGTCATTTGTTGAAAAGTGCTCAGCAGTATTTTGGTCATTTGGTCCAAAAACGAGATTAATATTTTTTGACAATTTTGGTTGTTTTCAACAATCCACCCTTGTTTTGGGGTTACTCTATATAAAGAACTTAAGTCATTTGTGAAGAAAAGTTATGAAGCATAATAAAAGAATTGGGTTTTTGCCCCTTCAACCCTTTGCTTGTCCATAGCTTCTAACCAGTGTTCGCAAAATCAAATCGGAATGGTTAACCGGACATGGGGTTGAGAGAGGTTAGAAACGGAACCGGACTAATCGGGGGCGGTTAACCGAAATAACCAGTCAAGTAGATTTATTTTATTTTTATTTTTTTAAACGAGTCAAAAATTCCCAAAAATATAAAATAAAATTAAAAAAAAAGAAAAATTTAGATTAAGTGTACAATTTCTTATTATATACACTTATCTTACAAAAAAAAATAAAACAACTTTTTATATAAATTAATATTTGAATACTATGGTCCTGTATATGATCCCAAGCATGTAACATAAATCTTTTTGTTTCCTAGAATGAAGTCTGATAATAAGTTTACAAAACCTTATCACAAATGTATTATCCAAATGTAAATATGCACACTAGATATTCAGGTGTTGTAGAAACATTACATTAGTATATGCTTATTACTAAAGAATATAAGGACACATATATGTGTACGCACTCCAGTGTCAACGTTTACAACACTTCAAGATACTGTTGATCACAATTAGAAACAATGGAAAAGAAATTGATCCACCAACTTTTAACGGTAAATGATAAGATGTCACAAGGTAGAGAGGCCGATACATATAGGTTTTGTCATATTAATCAAAACAACATATTTTTAAAAAAATAAATAATTTTATCAAAAACTATTATTTTATTAAGAAAATAGAAAAATATTTTCTATATTCATCAAAAATAATAGTTTTATTAAAAATAATAATTTTTTTTTGAAAAATCGATTTCTCTAAAACTTCTAAAATTGAGCAACATTTCAAGCAATAAACAACCCTCAATACTTAGATAATCGAACAAATCAATACAGATGCACTGTAAAGGCTTCAACTACCCTTTAAATGCACCAAAAATCATTAAAAAAATATTTGGTATTTTTTATTTAATTTAAAAAATCATGAAAATTTCGTATATATAAAATCGAACAAGAAAAAAATGTAGATAGAAATATTTACTCAATAATAAATAAGCATACCTATTTATGTGACAGATTAAGCCTTGACAATTAAAATACACAAATCAATTTCATAAAAAATGACAAAAAAATTGATTCAAAATCTGTTTTTTCGCATCGAATACAGGTTCTTCGAGCAGCAGCTTTTCGGCAAAATCAACCCCCAATATTTTGTTTTTTGAACAAATTAAAAGAGGTATATCGTAGATGATTCGATTAGAATTAAAAAACCTCAAATTTCAGCAAAAACCATGGACTATTGAAGATGATATTGATGAAATGTCGACAATTTCAAAAGGCATGAAAATCTACCATTTCAATCCACAAAATCTTTTGATTTTTCAAACTTGGATTCGAATTTGCTTGTTTAATAGAGAATAAATAGTTTTTTACAGCTCTAAAGCATGAAAAAGGCCAAAAAAATGGCGAGAAAAAGAATAAAAAAGGCTTGAAAAAAATCAACCTATGAATTCCTGGAACGGCTTCAATTGAAAATAACATGCGCTATTTTAACTGTACTGTTATTTGTTCATAAGACCCTTTAGATTCTCTAACTGGTCGATTAGCATAAAAACCAGTCGGTTTGACCAAAATACGGTCGGTTCGACTCCTAACCGATTGGTTTTGGGCCTGAAATTTTATTGGGTTATACCCTAGGCTAGGAGATCCCTAAACCGCCCCTAACCGGACTCGGAACCCTAGCAGTTCTGAGCTAACTGGAAGGTTTTTCTAACAATGCTTCCAACTTCAAGAGAGAGGAGAGAGAAAACTTTACCACATTGGGTAATTTCCCTTAGACCTCCCACTTCTAATGCCCAACTTCCAAACCCTCAACTTCCAACTCCCAACTTCAAAATCTCCCACTTCCAACTCCCAACTTCCAAACCTTCCACTTCCAATTCCTAACTTCCAAACCTCCTACTTCCAACTCCCAGCTTTCAAACCTTCCACTTCCAACTTCCAACTCCGCAGAACCTCAAACTCCCTACTATCTAGAACCTCAAACTTCTTACTCCCTTGCTTTCCCAACTTCTTACTCCCTACACCATACACCTCACCTAAGATCATCATACACCCTATCTCGTACACTATCTTAACCCACATAGGTCCATTCATCTTAGACCTAGACCCCAACTTTATCCCCAAAGGACAATACATCTCTCTAACGAGCACTCAAAAGGGACCCTCAAAGGTGCGCATAAATCAAAGTGGCTTAGGTCCACTCTCTTTCTTGTCTCTCTCTTTGGGTTATTTTAAGGAGGCTCTTTGGTTTAGTGACTGTCTGATGGGCTAATCCCACGACTTCGCTTCCCGAATCCTTCGGGTACCAAGGTATCGAACCTAGTACCGTTCTCTGTCTCCAGTAATACCTCTTAGGAGAGGTTATGCTAAAAGGCTGCCCAATTCTCGGTCCCCTTCTTTTTCTCTCGTCTTTCTTTTCTCTTCTCCTTCTCTTTCTTATCTATTCTTCTTCTCTTTTTTATCTCTTCTTTCCCTTTCTTTTTCTCTTTTCTCTCTCTCTCTCTCTCTTTCTCTCTCCCATTCAGACCCACAGCAGGCCAGAGCCATCTCCCTCTTTCTCTCTCTCTTTGCTTTCTCTTTCTCTCTCTCCCTTATTACAGACCTACACCAAGGGTGGGCCCATCCCCCTCTCGTTCACTCTCTCTCTCTCGGACCCAAGGCGGGGTCCGAGCTTCCCCCTTCTGTCTCTTTGCCATTGCTCTCTCACTCTCTCTTTCTCTCGCCTAGGTCACAGACTCGCACCATAGGCGGGTCCACCCCTCTCTATCTATTTCTCTCTTTCTCACCCTCTTTCACCCCCTTGCCTAGGTCACGGACCCACACCATAGGCGGGTCTGCCCTTCTCTCTCTATATCTCATTCTCACCCCCGCGTCTAAGTCACGGACTTGCGTTATATGCGGCACGCCGCTCTCTCACCCTCTCTCATCTCCTAGTGACGGACCTACGCCATAGGCGAGTTTGCCTTCCTCTCTACTCTTCTTTGTAAGTGAGCTCTTAATAGACTAGAACTATGGACCACACTCTCCTGATTCTCTCGGGATACCTAGGGCCTCCAAGCCTAGTATTTTTCTTATCTTTGGTAGTACCTTTTGGGAGAGGTGACGCCAGCAGGCTGCCCAATGTTTGGGTCAGTTCCTCCTTTCTCTTTTCTACTTCTTCTTCCCTATCCACTCTCAACCCCTCTAACCCATAGTATAGACCCCCAATCTACCATATAAATACCAATAGGAGGAGATCCCAAAAGGTATACCCTGAAGACCTTTTTTAGTGTGTGGACCCGAGTGATGTGCACTGAAGTGTGGGAGCCCAATTCAAATATGCTGCAAGGACAGACGAAGGACCTTCAAAATGATATAA